TCTCTCTCTCTCTCTGTCTCTCTCTCTCTCTCTCTCTCTCTCTCTCTCTCATCATCGTATTTCCCATTTACATATTTCATTAATTTCCTAATCATCAAACACTATGACCTCTTTACGCCACAGAGACAAACACAGTTTAAACAATTACACCACAACAGCTCACACCTGCGCCCTTACCTTACCTGGTGTAGTTATAATGAAAAGGTAAATAAAGATTCAAATTAGTAACATACTTTGCAAATAGTTCTTTAAAAAACATCTTTGGAATTAGGCATATTTAGGACCATTACATGTTTACTACAGTACAGAGAGGATTATAAGTTTCCAGTAGCTGTAGTTCCTTCTGGTACAGGAAATCAATATTCTATTATCTGTCGCCCCCGAGAGTAAACATTAAAAGCTGCTCTCCTGCTCTGCTTGTAGTGAACACATGTGGAACACCAAAATTTCCTCGGTAATATAAAGTAAGCCTTGAGTTTGTTTCCCCACGTGTTGTCAATAGTTGCTGTTATGCCGTTTACAGATGGTGTGAGTTAACTACCGATGCCGTTTACAGATGGTGTGAGATAACTACCGATGCCGTTTACAGATGATGTGAGTTAACTACCGATGCCGTTTACAGATGAAGTGAGTTAACTACCGATGCCGTTTACAGATGGTGTGAGATAACTACCGATGCCGTTTACAGATGGTGTGAGATAACTACCGATGCCGTTTACAGATGGTGTGAGATAACTACCGATGCTTGAGTGAGTCTATTGGCTGCAGATATAATATAACTAAGTACATCTCCTGTATTATCAGCACCACTTCGTAAGCTGTACATTATATTCCTACCTTCACTACCCGCTGCATCATCAGAATGGTTACCAAAATATATATATATAATTTAAATATTTAATGTCAAAGAATTATTTTGTAACATTTTCGATGAATTTACCGTAGCACCAGTCACTCACCACACATACAACCTCACCTCACCTCACCTCACCTCACCACACATACAACCTCACCTCACCACACATACAACCTCACCTCACCTCACCTCACCTCACAACACATACACCAATCTCTTCGCTAAACACCTCTGCGCCTCCTCGTCCCGTATCCTATAATCGACATTATTTTTGACACGCTGGCCAGATGGGGGCGATATATATATTGGCTGCCTTCATAAACCTGAGGTGTGAGGGAGTCATGAAGTGAGGAGGTGTTGAGGCAATATAATGATGATGGAAGACCATCCAGGTGGCACCAATCACCTGCCATCACCTGCTTCCATCTCCAAGGTGACGCCCACAGGTGATAAGAACTTCCGGAATGAGGAGACGAGAAAAATAGGTACATGATAGTGAGAAAATAATGAAAACAAAATGTATTAAGGTGTGAGTAACGTACACACAGCAAGATGAATGAACAATGAACTGTTGAGGGTTTATCATCTTAGATGGTTAAAAAAAATAGTCTTTGATTCAAGTGTCGTAAATGGTAGCCAGCTGTACCGAGAGATGGCAGGTTACTGTAGGGAACAATAACGTGGTTAAGAAATGGTACACATGTTAGTGTTGTGGTGCGAAATCTCAGAGTGGCCAATACCGTCACCTCCCCCGTCCCCACATGTAAGTAAATAAATAAATAAATAAATAAATAAGTAAATAAGAACATAAGAAAATAAGGAGTCTGCAATAGGCCGGTTGGCCTGTGCATGGCAGCTCCCGTCGAGAGTTACTACCACTCTCTTTCATCCATGAATCTATCCAGCCTCCTTTTAAAACTTTCCAGCGTTCCAGCACTTACTACAAAGTTGCTAAGCTTGTTACACTCGTCCATCACCCTATTTGTGAACCAGTTTCTTCCTATCTCCCTCCTAAACCTAAACTTATCCAACTTAAATCCGTTGCTCCGAGTCCTATCCTGCTCGGATATTATAAGAACTTTATCTATATCCCCTTTATTGATTCCTTTCACCCACTTAAATTCTTCTATCATATCTCCCCGCACTCTTCGTCTTTCTAGGGAATGCAAATTAAGTTTCTTTAACCTATCCTGATATGGAAGGTTTCTAAGTCCCGGAATACATAAGTAAATAAATTAGTAAATAAATGTGTAAGTCAATAAATAAATGAATAAAAGACACGTTCTGCATCGGTTTAATAGTTATGGCTCCACCTTAACGTGAGGTGAGCTTTACCTTTGACCTTTGACCTACGAGTAGAGCCCTGAGGGAGGTTATTGTGGCAGTAAAATCGGCAGTGAGAAGGGTGGCACTTAGAGGCACTGGCACTCTAATGAGGAACTACTTAACCTGAAGTAACTCTCTCTAGAAGTACGGATCACCTAAAGATTAGTCCCCTAGTTTACTCTACCTTAAGATTAACCTAACTAAACCTAACCTAACCTAACCTAACCTAACCAAACCAAACACTAACCTCTCCAGGTATCATTAGGGAGTTTAAACTTCAGGTAAAAGAAGGTAGGGTGTCTAATCTTCACGTCATCCCAAAACCGAGAAACGTTGACACCGATAACTGGAATCCCTTATATGAATTTAAACCCTGAGGTATTTATCACCCTTCACAGGTAAGTCTGGTCTACTGTGATACAACACCTGGGCGACCTTCCCCACCCCCGCCTTAATACCTGGCTGAAGTAAATCAATGGCTCGTCTCCACCTTCCCTCAGCTCACCCTTGAGACTTGAAGCCATAACTAATAACCTTCAATACTCTAATACTTGACTTCTGGAAGGATAGATTTACCAAGGGCCTCGCAGTCTTTAGTCCAGGTATCAATTATATTCGGCTCAGGTGCTGGATATAATGTTGGTTAGTTGTCTGTGCCTTTCGGAGTGAGGCTATGCTGGTTAGATCTAATGGTAACCTAACCAAACCTAACCTGACCTGACCTAACCAAGCCAAACCTAACCTAAGTTCTCTAGTCACATTTAATTAAAGTAGTATATTTTTAATCCCTAATTACACAACACTTCATTTTAAAATAACATAAATGTACACAGCTTTTATATTTAATAATTTAACTCTAAACAATGACCATCCATAATTAAATTTGGCGGTGTACATGAGTAAAAAATTAATTCCACTGAACACCTGTAATACATTAATTAATTTCAAGGTTCATCTGTTGAGAGACTATTTACTTTAAGGTGATTATTACCTTGAATAAATTAACCTGAGGATGTGCAGGTAAAGATCATTAACTTCTTGAGTAACCTAGAACAAGTTATGGTTACTGAAGAGGTAAGTAGAATTATCGTAACTAGGGAACCATGAGAGGGAAGCTTTATTTCATTTCCCCAGGACTAATGCCAAGAAACTCCCCAGAATTTAGGAGTTTTTTGCCAAGAATTTAATATAGTAAAAAATAATAATATTATATTATTTCTCTACAAAGGTAAGTGAAACATAATACTGGATCCACTTTACGTACATCCGCTTTACGCACACCCGCTTTACGCACACCTGCTTTACGTACATCTGCTTTACGCACACCCGCTTTACGTACATCCGCTTTACGTACACCCGCTTTACGTACACCCACTTTACGTACACCCGCTTTACGTACATCCGCTTCACGTACACCCGCTTAATACATAATTTCTCTATAGGTATATCCATTTCAGTATATCAGTATGGCCACGAATATCCCCCTAATTATTTTTATTTATTTTTTATTCTTTTTATTACTAAGTTTTGGTATAAATCAGACAAACATACAATCAAACCAATATACTAATTAATCCATTACAAACCATGATGGTAATTCAGTAAGTCAGTGTTGTTCTTTCCTGTATGCAAATGTGTGTGTGTGTGTGTGCGTGTGTGTGTGTGTTACTCCGGCTAGCTTTCCATGTTAATTGATGTAAGTCTAGTGGAGGGAGGTGGGTGGATGGCAGTCCCAGGGTCATGAAACTAGGGACATTGTAGAGTAATATCACCCTACTGTCTCGCTGTACTGTATTAAATGTTAAACTGATAGCTCTTAGGATTCTTCTTACAGAGTACAGACAGACACACAGACAGACAGTTATTATTTACTCCTTCCTGCAGATGATAGACCGGACTTGTTCTTGCATGTTGGACGCGAGTGACAAGGGGAGCAACATACAGTACCCCAGTCAGGACTCAGAGAGAGAGATATTGTGTCTAGTTGGATAATTCTAATTCGATAAGTGCCCCTCATGGTGGACACAGCCTAGCAGCCTCCCCAGCGAGACCAAGACGACGATAACCTGTACATCACTCTTAGTAATTCCCCAGTCTTCTTCTTCTTCTCCTCCTCCTTCTCCTCCTCCTCCTCCTCTCTCCTCCTCCTCCTCCTCTACAGCTATTTTTTTTGTCCACCACCTCACTCTCCCCCCACCCCCCTCACTCTCCCCTTCCATCCATTCCTTTTCCAGGTGCCGCGCGAAGTGTGGGACGGTGTACAGTATATTGGACGTACACTCTTATTAGTCGTTTTTCCAGGAACTCTCATAGTTCACACACACACACACACACACACACACACACACACACACACACACACACACACACACACACATGATCTATTAATATATCTAATATTTGTTTATTTATTGTTATTGGTATTTGTTTTAACGTGTTTTTTCATTCTGTTTTACTTTTTAATTTTTTTTTTAATTTACTGATGGTGTGGTGTGTGTGGTGTGGTGTGGTGTGGTGATGTGGTGTGGTGTGGTGTGGTGTGTGTTGTGTGTGTGGTGATGTGGTGGTGTGGTGTGGTGGTGTGGTGTGGTGGTGGTGTGGCGGTGGTGTGGTGTGGTGTGGTGTGGTGTGTGTTGTGTGTGGTGTGGTGTGTGGTGTGGTGTTTTGGTGACTCTTAGAGGAGAGGCTGAATAAAGTGTCCATCTTCCTAATAACTTAAAGAAGACATCAAGGTAAAGTATCCATCTTCCTGGCAACTTAGACATCAAGGAAAGTGTCCATTCACCTCAAGACATCAAGGTAAACACATCTCACTTAC